AAACTGACCAGCGCTGACTACAGGAAGCCCGAGGCAGAGTTGCTCTGCCCCAGGCTTCCTGGAATCAGCTGCTGATCAGTTTCAGCAGCAGCTGACTTGGGGACACCTGGGGTTCTTAAGTTGAATCTGTATGTAAGTCGGAACTGGTGTCCAGACTGATCAGTTTCAGCAGCGGCTGAATCTGGACGCCAGTTCCGACTTACATACAGATTCAACTTAAGAACAAACCTACAGTCCCTATCTTGTACGTAACCCGGGGACTGCCTGTATATGCAATGTAACTTTTGGAATTAAATCAGATGATAAGAATCCATAGCTTTATTCTTCCACCTACCAACAATCAATATTCTTTTTGACCTCTGCCCTCTGATCCTTCTAGCCATTGTCAATTTACATTTCTTATGCATTGTATTTTTTCAGTTTCTTCAGATAGGGAATTGTGAGGGAATTGTTGATTGTCCAAATAGTGTTTTGTTGTTAAATCTTGACAGAGCTGATGTTAGCGCTCCAAGAGGGCTACTTCTATTTTTCTTTTCAGTTTAATTATGCACTCAACAGACTAAATTAATCATATAAATCATTATTTTCAGTATCCTAGAAGTAGGCAGCTCTGTTCAGTGATCAGTTTCAGGCAGCACAGGTATGATGCTCTTGGATCCATCAATCAGATTTTTCTTAACTTTTTCAATACACTGATGACAGGTAGCCTATGTTAAAAAAAAAAAGTGATTGGGTATGCAGCTAGTTTAGCTAAGCCAGGGACTTAGCTCACAAAAATCAAAGGATAATTAATATTAATCGGCAAGGAAGCTGAGTTAATTTCTCACCTTCAGTAGTGGTTCTTCATTAGTGGGATAGTGCAGGGGAGAGAAAGCAGCAGCTGCTGTAGCATACCTGATGCGTCAGTCCAACATTTTGATGAGTACTAAGGATGTTAAAATGTGGTTAAGTGACTAGTCTACTAGTCAATGGAATTTCAATAGGCACATCTGCATTCCTCTTTTGACATGTACAAGAGTCCCCAGCTGATCCTGGGTTCTGGGAAAACGCAGAAGCGGCATTTTAAAGGGGCAGCCACCGCACAGCTGATCCATGGATCAGCTGTGCAGTGCCTGTGCCTTTGAAATGCTGCCTTGAGGTTTCAAAGTGGCAGATGTGCAGCGCTGCCACTTTGAAGTACTCCTTCCCCTCCTCTTTGCTGCCTCTATTTCATGCAGGCAGAAAAGGGAAGGGGTATCGACTAGTCGACTACTCAAATACTTATCAGATAGTCGACTAGTTTTTTACATCCCTAATGAGTACTAAATTCAAGTTACAATAATTTCATAAAAGCTTTATAAAAAATCTATTCTGCTGTGGGATGAAAGTCTGCTTTTATTATATTTGAATGACTCTGTTTCTACTCTTAATATATTTATATAATTTACCTAAAACTTATAATTCAAAGACTTTATTTATTTGGTAAAGTAAATGGTGAAAATGGAATTACTCAGATTGCTGTATTGATAGAAAAGTCTTGGTCAAAGTTGCCAGGAAATGAATTGGGCATGAAAACTGGATACAAATGTTTAGTTTTATCCTCAATTTACATGCACTCTGCAGGTGGAAGAAGCATGAGCTATGGGTCAGGATTTAGGGGAAGGTGCTTGTCATCAGTTCTTTCTGCTTACATAGCAGCTGGACTCTGGTTATACTGTGTGTTGCTATTGGTTTGATGATGAGCAGTTTGAAAAGACTGAGTTATTTCTCTGTCTTGCTTATTTGCATTGATTATGGTTTGAAAGTGTGAGGGAACCATTAATGGCAATGGATGCAGTAATAGCGCTAATATTACCAGCAATTTCATATTTTCCATTGTCGATCTAAGTGATATTACAAACTATTTTGCTTAGTGGAAGAACCAGTATTTGGATATTTATTTTCTTTCATATGCATTTTCAATTTGTTGCATACTGTTGTATTCATCTTTTATTTTGGTGCTCTCTGAAAGTGAGGAAACAGCAGGTATACTATAATTTACTGGACAAGTTTTCTCTCTCAGTTCTGCCTGCAGCCTCAGGATTGCTTCGGCCCTAGTTTAGAAATATCACTGATGTTTTCCAGTTTGGGCTTTTGATAAGAAGAATTTATTTTATGCTGAATAATTCAAAGTTATTATTATGTAGACAGAATTTTTCTTGGCTCTCATATGGGGTCAACAAACTCATTTCTTCAACTATCTACCCAGAATTTGAATTTTAAAGCTAAAAACTTAAATATACTTAAGATCTACATCTCCCACCGCACTCAGAAAATTCCAATATACTGGGCTTGATTCTAGTTGCATGGGCGGGGAGGGAGGAGGGCAGAGGGAGGAACTGAGGGAAGAACTGATAGGCTATGTCTACAGTACCAGGTTATTTCAAAATAACTATTTTAAAATAAGCTTATTCCTCTTTATAAGCAGGAGTTATTATTTCAAAATACAGGTTGAACCTCAAAATCCAGGACTCTCTGGTCTGGCAGGTCCTGGGATATTGCTGAACCAGAGAGCCCTGACTGGTAGGGTTGCCAGATAGTTTCACAAAAAATACCAAACAAAAAAAGGGTGAACAAAGTTGTCGAGAAAAAAAAAAGTACAAAAAAAAAAAAAAGTCACAGCTCCTTTAAATCTCCACACTCCACTTGCCCCTTCCAGACATTTTACATGTATTTTTTTGTATCGGACAAAAGCTGCAAATACCGGTCTGTCCGAGCCAATACCAGACATCTGGCAACCCTACCGACTAGCCAGGTTCAGAAGCACAGCCCAGGCTGGGCTGGCAGCTGAGAGGTGAGCACAGCGCTGGCCAGGGCTGATGGCAAGGAGTGCAATCCCAGCTGAGGCTGAAGGCAATGGGGCCAGAGGCCAGGAGCAGTGTGGTGGGTGTGGGGGGAGCGGTGCAGCCCTGATCATTGCTGGTGGTGGGGAGTGCAGCCCCAGTGGGGGTTGGAGGCAGCAGCCAGGAGTACAGCCCCAGCTGGGAGCAGAGCCTGACTTCCCCTTGATTATCAAACTCCATGGTTTGGGACCACTCAGGTCCCAAGGTGCCAGACAAGGGAAGTACGACCTGTAACAAGCCCATTATTTTGAAATAACAGGCTTGGTAGTGTGGACGCTCACCTTGTTATTTCAAAATAAGGGGAGTTATTTTGAAATAACTCCCCAGTGTTGACATGCCCATACAGTCCAACTCTCTAATACTCAGGACAAGAATATTGAAGAGTTCATCTCTTCATAGCAACTCTGACTTATGCCACTGCTAGAGTCCTCTAACAGATAATGCAGCAGTTGATAATTGTCATAGCAAAGCCACATGTCTCCAAACCTTCTACTCTCAGAATCCTTTACTCCACGCCTTTTACTGAAGGGAAAATAAAAATCCATGTCCCTTAAAGAAGGGGATTTGAGATTGTCAACAATAGCTTTAGAAGTCAACTGAGATGGAATGCCCCCTTTGACTCATCCATCATACACAGAAGATGAATTTCAGTCAGTTATCTAATTGGTATCAATTTATGTTCCATGTTGTATGCAGCGATTGTTGAGGATGGGGGCAGTGTGTCAAAATAAAAGTCATGTCATGTCAGCTTTTGTTATTTTGCTATGGGTCTGATAGCAAATCTGGTACTGGATTTTAAATTTCAGTACCAGGTCTATTAAAAGGGTGAGGCCTGTGGACTTCACAGACATTTATTCTGCAAGTATCCTGAAACAAAGGGCAGTTCCAGTGTCTATCTTTAATAATGCGTCATCTGTAGTCATTCATAGGGAGGAAAGGGACACAAAAATGTATGGTATGCACCAACAGTCTGAGCTCCATTTAAGAAATTCGGTGTCATAAGGATGGATATGGAAAGACTGTTATTCAAATTTAGTTTCATACCTGTACCCCTTTCATGAAGACTCAGAAAAGACTTGATAATTTTTCAATTGTTGTATCTAGGTAGGTGTAGATAACTGCCCCAATTTGTATTTGTGTTCTTTTGTTTATTTTGTTTTGTTTTGTTTCTAGGTGGCTCCTGTAGTGTTGTGTCTAGAAACTATAATTTCCATGATGGACTGGGGAGGAGGAAAAAGTGAGAGGAATAAACCTTACCTTTGTTGTTATCAAGTCTTTTCTGAGTCTTCATGAAAGGGGTACAGGTATGAAACTAATATATTTTCCTGCAGATAATATCTAAAGCTGACCTGCAGAGAGATCTGTTTGCAAGTAAAGTTATCAATATTGCCAGTTCTGAAAATATGACTTACAGTGGCTGCTGTTTACCAAAGATGTTTTGATTCATCTGAAAAACTGTGCCTAAGGGAATATTTCACCCATGTCAAACTGTCTCAAAATTAAACAGTAATCTGTATCTTTGAAATGTAATAGAAGGTTGTGCAATAACATAACATTGCCCGTAGTGGTTTAATAAATCAGTCCTGTTTACATCAATTGGTATTCTATGTGCTCTCTGTTTTGTACTCCACATATATTGCTTCAAAGATATATATTGTTGCCTCTTTTGATCCCAGCAGGGTGTTTTCATTAGAACGTGAAAATGATGTGCAATTAGGTATCTTTAATGAAACCCTGTTTTATTTTCAAAAAATGTACAGAGTCCTATTTCTCTGAATATAAGAAGAATCAAACAGGAGATAGTTTCTTTGTTCAGAACTGCAAGTCCCTGTCAGCCAACACTTAGCCTTAGAAGCATACTCTCTAAGCTTTTTTCAGGGCCACTGTACTAGTCAGGGCCACTGTACTAGTTCCTCAACTGCTGTGTCTGATATTTCCTTGTTGCCTTCTTTTCCCACAGCTTCTTTGATCTTTCTGGTCTTTCACTAGACACACAACAATAGCCAGAGATTTCCCTCTACCCACTTGAGCCTTTGTTTTGGGCATGTGTGTGTAGGGGCTGCTATTGTTTCAACTACCTGCTTCCATAAAGAAGTGTAATGGCTTCATACAACAAGGGCAGTGGTGACACACCCCAATTTCATATAGGTTAACTCTACCCATGCCATATGCAGTAGAGTTCCAGGTGTATTTTTATACAGCTGTTTGTAAAGGTGTATCTTTAAAGACAGCCTTAGTTACTGCCAAAATAAATGGTTTTGCAACTTTATTCCTTGTAGCAAGAATGATACCTAATGGCTTCTTCAGATAAGGTAGACTATCTCCTTTATCACTGTTCTATAATCTGAATCTGACTTGCAGAACCCAACTTGTGTGTTTTTTTTTCTCTGCATCATAACTGGTAACAGATGCTGCAGTTAGGTTTCAATTAATAATTGTACTGATGATACATGAGCAGGAATAGACCCTAGCTGAGGGGTGGGCAATAATACAAAGGCAGTTCACCAGGCTAAGCCCCTAGTGGGCTGCTGCAACTATATTTACACACAGCTCTGCAGGTACGGACAATCACAACTCTCATTGGCTGGGAATGGTAATTCACAGACAACCGGAGCTGTGATCCCCAGTACCTTTGGAGGTTCAGGTAAATACGGTGGTGTGGGGGCCTGCCAGGGGCTAACCCTGTCAGACCAGATCTGGCCTGTGGGCTGGTATTTGTTCTCCCCTGCTCTAGGTCTATCTCCCATAGCTGCATCGATTTGTAATTCTAACAGAAGTTAAAATTATAAAAATAAACAGATGTGTCCAGAAATGAAAGTGAATAGGGTCATTGTAACTTTTCCAATGATAACTGCACTTTAAATGTGGCAGTCAAAATAAACTTGAGCCCTTTAAGCCTAAATCTCTAATATATTTTTGAGATAAGAAGCCGAAGGAAGAATAAAAATAGCGAGTTACATCGTTTTTTTGTTTTTGTTTTCCCACTTGCTTTGTTTCTGATTGGTTTGTTCTCGTTTACTTTAATAAATCAAACAACATAAGATAATTATTGCTAAATAACTGCAATTTTCTGCCTTCCTGATTTGGATAGCTTTCACTGCAGCTCCATCTGCATTTTGTATATAATCCACTAACAAAAGTGATCTCCCCTGAGCACAAACTATGCAAGAAAGTGGAGACAAAGCTCATTAAAATCTTTACAAAAAAGATCAGAAGCAGGGCTAGTTGAAAAAACCACTGGGAGATTAGAAAGAAACAAACAATACATGTAGATTAAAAACATTTTAAAGAAACAACAAACATTTTAGAATGTGTCATTTTATTGAATTGGAATCTTGAAAAATAGAAGAAAATTGGAGGGATTTATGGATATGCCACCATGATACTGTGGGAAGTGTTGGGCTCAAGCCAGACATTAGATCTGAACATCCCTTACTTTTGGACAGCTGGTTTTGAAATCTGACCATGGGACCAGCTGTGAATTAAACAGCTGACCTGTCTGTCTGATGGGTTGAACCCAAGCTTTGGATTTTAATATTACAGAGTTTTGGAGGAATTTGAAAGCTGGATTTGGTAGCTCAAGTCTGTAACTCTGTCGCTAACTGCTTTTCCTGTTCTGTGCTGCTCTAAAAAATAAAACCAGAAAAAAATTTAGAACAGACAAACCTTGTTGATTTCAGTAATTCCTGACACTGTTTTGCCCAGTTTAGAATACAGTTTCACTGCTTAATGAACAAAAGCAGAAATAAACATGATGAAAAGAGAGAAAATAAACACACGAAATCATTATGCGATTTCCTAAATAGCTTCCTCTCTGTTCGTGCTTTGTGCTTCCTACAATATTCATGGCAAATTATCTGTTTGTGGTAAAAGGCACATTTTGGCTATTTATTACATGGATACACACACACACATGCATACTTCCTCACCTTTTATCTGCACAGATTGATAAAGATAATCTTTAATTTATTTCCTATAGTTGTCCTACTGCATGCCTTTGCCATTGACATTAATTTTCTGACCAATTTACATGCAGCATAACTTGATTGTTTTGTATCATTGAGTTTAGCCCTATCTCTGTAAACTTTTGAGACAGGGACTGTTGGCATAGATATTGCTCAGAATACTTGGAATCCCCTCCTCCACTTGTCTGTTATTTAAAGGCTCTTCTTCCTTGCCTTGTCTGCTTAGATATCTCCCTGCTCATTATTGCACATCTTAGAGATGGAGCCATATGTATAAAGCACAATCCTTCCCTGCAAGGTACTGAAATATTTAAAGAATGATCTTGGACATAGGAAAACCTCAGACCAGGCCTGTTGATGAGTGGGGGTGGGGGGAGAAGGGGAGGGCAAAAAGCGTCAATTGCCCCGGGGCCAAGTGATTCAAAGGTGGCTGGGACTCCAGCTACTACTGCAGTCACAGCTGGAACCCCAGTCCCTTTATATCACTATTGGAGCCCCATGCTGTGGGACGCAGGTGATGCTGTCTGTATGGCTATGTCTAGACTGCAAGCCTCTTTCGAAAGAGGCTCTTTCGAAAGATACTTTCAAAAGAGCCTCTTTCGAAAGAGAGCGTCTAGACTGCACGTTGAACTTTCGAAAAAGCGGCTTGCTTTTTCGAAAGAAAGCATCCAGTGAGTCTGGATGCTCTCTTTCGAAGAAGCCCTATTTACATTGAAGAACGCCTTCTTTCGAAAGAGGAACTTTTGAAAGAAGGCGTTCTTCCTCGAGAAATGAGGTTTACCGCCATCGAAAGAAAAGCCGCGTTCTTTCGATTTAATTTCGAAAGAATGCGGCTTGAGTCTGGACGCAGGGGAAGTTTTTTCGGAAAAAGGCTACTTTTCCCCCAAAAACCCCTGAGTCTGGACACAGCCTATGACACTGGGAAGGGGAAGGTGTGATCTGGGTGGCACTGAAGGCTGACTGCCCTGGCCCCACCCCTTATGCCCAAGGCCCTGCTCCTTTCAGGAGAGCAGATCTGCCCCTTCCATGCCCAGAGGCCCAGTGAGTCTGTTGGCTTGCCTGCCTCAGAGAAACATATTATTTGAGTCTCCTCACCTTACAGTTTCTGAAACTTTTGTTCTGTTGATTTTTACATGGCAATTTTTTGGTACATCCTCTTCTAGAAAATTCTCCCATGGAAGCCACAGTTGTATATGCGAGCCTGATGCCCATCCTAATACTGGCTCAGCTACCATCACTGAAAATGGATTGGATTTTTTCAGGCGAGAAATTTTACAAAAATGTCCTCACTGTTCTAACATTAGTTCACTTGTAATAGTGTTAAGGAGGTTTACTGAAAAATTGATAACTCCTTTCATTTTACCATAAAATTATAAAATAAATCATATGGAAAATAAGTATTGTAAAGTACTTACATTTCAGGGTATAGTATATTGACCAGTATAAAAAAGTCATGGTCTGTATGAAACGTTACTGCTTTTTTTGTATCTTGCTTTAAAACCTTAATGCTAATAAACTTCTGCCTACCAACTATATTTTAAGTGTAAGCAGAGTCTGAACCACTGCAGCCAGCAAAAGGGGAGGGCAGCCCTGCATGTGGTTATGTTCACTCAAAGGATCCGACCAGGTGCCGTTCGCACCTTGACCTTCTGCTCACAAACAGGAAGGAACTAATAGGAGAAGTAGAGGTGAGTGACAACCTGGGAAGCAGTGATCATGAGATGGTAGATTTCAGAATCCTGACCAAACGAAGAAAAGAGAGTAGTAAAATACACACCGTGGACTTCAAAAAAGCAAATTTTGACTCCCTCAGAGACTGGATGGGCAGAATCCCCTGGGATGCTAACATGAAGGGGAAAGGGGTCCAAGACAACTGGCAGTATTTTAAAGAAGCCTTATTGAAGGCACAAAAAGAAACCATCCTGACACCTAGCAAGAGAGGCAAACATGGTAGGAGACCGGAATGGCTTACAGGGGAAATCCTTGGTGAACTGAAGCACAAAAAGGAAGCTTACAAAAAGTGGAAACTTAGACAAATGACCAGGGAAGGGTTTAAATGTATAGCTCGAGAATGCCGGGGGGTTATCAGGAAGGCGAAAACGCAAATGGAATTGCAACTGGCTAAGGATGTGAAGGATAACAAGAAAGGTTTCTACAGGCATGTTAACAAGAAGAAGATGATCAGAGAGGGTGTGCGTCCCCTACTGGATGAAGGAGGTAACCTAGTGACAGATGATGTGGGGAAAGCTGAAGTACTCAATGCTTTCTTTGCCTCTGTATTCACAGACAAGGT